CTTTCCCTAGCAGACTTGTATTGGCACTGAGTTTCCCTCAGTTATTCAGTTTAAAGTTTCCTCTCCTTAATTTAATTCCTTAACTTGTAAGTAAGCTCCACGAACTATGCAAAAGTCTCCTTTCTTCCTCCAAAGGTTACTATGACCCCAATATTAGTTGTCCTTCAGCTAAGCCATTATATTAAATTCTTTTCATCTTCCCTCCAATTAGTCTTTCCAATCACTTAGTCACCTTTCTTCTGGCTTCTCTGAACTTTTGTCAGTTTGCATAATGGCTTTGCTAAGATAGAATGAAGGAGAAAGTGAAGTGCAATGTATATTTGTGTGTAAACAGTTGAAATGCCAGTTCTAATTTTTGTATCTAATCAAATGCTGACTAAATGAACTGTAGAGGTGTCCACAGCAACATTTGAGGATTAAAATTAATGGAATTGGGTACTGCTTTCTAACTAAGGTAACTAAGGTACTTCACATAAAGAGTTTAATTAGTAGCTGTCAGAACAAAAAGCAGTAATATATTTACTCATGAATAACATAGTTGTCTGAAGCTAGGCATGTTCTTTCTATGTTTCTATTTTGCTTGATATTTTAAAAGAAGGAAAATTTTCCTTTGAACAGGAGCCTCTGTTTTGGCTTCTGATTATCTTACTTCTCCAGTTAATACCTCTTCAGAGAATTGCTTGCAGCAGCTTTTTTGTTTTTTTCAGCTGTCTAGACTTCTACTAAAAGACTTACGGTTAACTCCTCTACCAGCTGCAACATTATGGTATTCTTATCGAGTGATGGTGTTGTATACAACCCAGGGTGCATACAAGCATTGACATGATAGGGCTGCAGAAAAAGGCAAAGGAGAAAGCAAAGCTGGACTTCAGATTCCAAAATTCTGCATATGCAGAGAAAATGGTCTAAAGTGCATTTAGCTGCTAATTTCCTGTGGTACCAAGAAATCCTGTGCTTGAATAACATAAATAAGTATCTTGTGTCTAGTTTTGATATTCCTCTCTTCCATTATCATGAGGTGCATAGTCACAAAAAAAATGTATAAGGTGTGTACACGGTGGTGGTCTTCAGACATATCACATTTACAGATGGCTTGGTTTCCCCCAGGACTATCGTTCCTTGGAAAAGCTTCCGTCAGGCCTTGCATGAAGTGCATCCAATCAGTTCAGGGCTGGAAGCCATGGCCCTGAAGTCAACGATTGACTTGACGTGCAATGACTACATTTCAGTATTTGAATTTGATATCTTCACACGACTTTTTCAGGTAAGAATTGAGGAATGTTAATTACTTGAGATGTGTCTCAGTGCTTCAGGTTAGACTCTTTTCCCTGGACAAACTATATTTTACACACTAAAATGACAATTATTTGTGTTGTAAGGGATTTGTTCTTCTTGCCATTCATCCGCGAAACAGCTCTAGTAATACTTAGGACCCTATATTGCTGTAAAAGTGTGTGATACTTCTGGTTGTAGAAGAAAAAATTGTCTAAATATATACTGCAACTGTAAGGCACATTCAGTATCCTCCCATGAATCAGTTTTTCCCTTTCAAAGGTCACTTTTAGACTGAAGTTTTGACACAACTTCTATAAGCCAGGAAATGTGAAGCTTAGTTTATCAGTCTCTTCTCCTTGTCCTTTTCTTTCTCATCAGATTTATTTGCCATAGTGGGGGGTGTGTTCAAGATGGAGCACAAGCATGGAAATTTGTGCTTCCTGGCTTTTGAAGTGACATAGACAGAATGTTGTGGACATGTCTGTGTTCTGTGCACAAGAATATCTATATTACTGAAGTGATATTAATAGTAGGTGAAATTCTAACCCATAGTCTTTAATAGTGCTAAACTCAAAAACACAGCTTCTGATGGTGCAATTGGGTATTTACAAGAACGAACGCTTACTTCTTTGGCTCTAACTTGCCTTTTCCCATGTGATAGGGTGGGTTGTAATTAAGATATGTCTAGATGAAAAATTCCCATGTTCAGTGTTGCAATGTAGCTGATCTCATTCAGTACTTTTTCCAACTGTAGTACATAAAGAGCAAGTTAAGAGTTGCTGCAGTTTCCAGGAGATGCAAAGCTCTTAGGGAAAGCTAATACCTTCCTTTAGGCAAGCTGAGAAATTTGGAAAAATTCTATGAGATTTAGACACCCAAGCCCTTCTCAGGATTGAGAGCTTTCTAACTGTTTTTATAATTTTTTGTGCATCATTTTAAGGAATATTTAACATGTATGTGCTGGTTTATTTATTCAAATCTTAGACTAGCCAGTAATCCTTGCCACACCCAAGTGAGGTTAGGTGGTTAAGGAATAGTCACAAGCACCTTACACACAGTGAAACTGAGACAGAGAGGGGAGGTCACCTTCCTGCGGCCATATAGGAAGTTGGTGTTAGAGATCAGACTAGTCACGGTTTCTGGTCCTGTGCGTAATCTTATTAAACTCCTGTCTCTACTCCTATCTCAGGGGTGAGTCATTTTCTCTGCAGAAGCAGCACAATTTGGTAGCTATTCTTGAGCTGTCTTTTTGTGACCTCAGTAACTTCTCCCTTGGCATTTCTTAAAGGAGTTTTGATTAAGGTCTGCCTTAGGTGATGTTTTTATCACTGACAAGAGAGAAGCTCAAATGCTAAGGCTGCTGCATGAGAATGGAGGTTTATAGTTCCTCTACTGGATTTATGGTGGGGTAAGAAACCTGCTGCTTTAACTGAAGAAGTGATCCCTTTGATTAAGGAATATTAAATGTGTTGATACCTTTTAGAAGTGCATGGTTAATATAATTCTTTGTTGTTTCTATAGCCATGGTCCTCTTTGCTCAGGAACTGGAATAGCCTAGCGGTGACTCATCCTGGTTATATGGCATTCCTAACATATGATGAGGTGAAGGCCCGGCTTCAGAAATTCATTCACAAACCTGGCAGGTTAGTGCTTGGCAGCGGTGGCTTTTTTGATCGTACTTGCTAACATTGCTGATTACTGCGCTGACTGAGGAGATTGGTTTTCTTTTGTCTTTGTCCTCCTTCCTCAGAAATTTAAACTGTGAAAAACCCTAGCTTGCCCTGTATTTAGAGATTATCCTCTGTGAGGTAGCTTACCTCCTGCCCACACCCACAATGGTCACAACAGCTCCCTCTGGCATGAGCAGAAAGCAGAGGCAGACACTCCCAGAGTGAGCCTAAATGGTGGGCTGTTGACGACCGTGAATAAGGGAATGCATCTATAGGTCCCATAACTTTTTGGTGAATATGCATAAAACTAGGAGAGCTGAGTGGATTGCAGCCCTCAGAAGCAGCGTGTACGTTTGAAGCCAACTTCAGACAGACAAGGCAGTGACCATTGTTTGTGCTGGCAGAAAGCAGCATGGTAGGCAGAGTAGGCGGCAAGGTAAGGCTGCAGGCTCAGTGGACTACACATGCTTCTGCGGGGGCTGTTGACCTGAGTAGTTTTGGGCTACCCTACCTGGGTAGAACTTGGCCCAATGCAACAGGGCTAACAGATTTCTCTTTATGCATTTCTGGAGGTTGTTACTATACTGTTAGTTCTGTGCCAGTTTTAAAAATGGAAACCTTCTATAGTCTGTTTGTTGGTTTTGTTGTTTGTTGGGTTTTTTTAAAGTTAATTTGAAACAAATTATTTTAAGGATGCTAACTTTTCTTGCTCTGGATTCTGGGTTTGATTTCACCTGGAGGCCAGTGCTTGGATGCTTTTCTCACTTTGTATCAGATTGCAAGGTTCTCCTTTGATCTGCCTGGGGGTAAATTGAGGAAAGCTGGTATTAATCATCAGGTTATTCCTACTAGTTTTTATTTGCTGTCTTGAGATAGCCAGACAAAGGCTGCCTACTTGACATTTAATCTTTCCTGTCTGTTCTAGTCCAAACTGAAGTTTCTTTTCCTTTGTGTTTTTTTAGTTACATTTTCCGATTGAGTTGTACACGACTCGGTCAGTGGGCCATTGGCTATGTCACTGCAGATGGGAACATTCTTCAGACAATCCCCCACAACAAACCTCTTTTTCAAGCACTGATTGATGGCTTCAGGGAAGGCTTGTAAGTAACTTTATCAAAATTAAGGTTTTTGCCCTTTTTCACTGTGAGTTTGTTTTATAAATCTTAGTCCTGTGGTGAGGTCTTAAAGTCAGTTGAACATCACACATTATCTACTTTGCAGGAGAGGCAGCATGTTGCAGAGGTCAAGCAATCACTATTGACATCACTGAGCCCCTTTCGGACATCTTTCAGCTCTTCCTTTTTATTTAGACCTTGATTCAGCAAAACAGTTCAATCATGTGAACAGTCCCATTGATGTCAGTGGAATAATTCATATACGTAACTGTTTTGGCACTCAAGAATACTCAGCTATATTTTGCACTGGAGAGCTGTACTATCCTTTGCAATAGCAGACAATAAGTGTGTGTCAGTGTTTCCCTTGTCATAGATTCTTTTCCAGTCGAGTCCTTAATTTGAGCCACTGCAACTGATATTATGGCATTAGTTTTCTTACTCTGGATATTACAGTCATCACTATAGGATGATTTAAGAAGAGTACTCTGGGACCATAGTATCCTGTTTAAAATAAAAATTGGTGTCAGGAAGAAAAACAAGCTTCTTTTTATTTTTAAGAATGACGTTTGATTTTTGTCTGATAGTAAAATTCTTCCAGACCTTCATTTGAATTCAGAATACCTTGAATTCACACCCCTCGCTTCTCACCCTCATTCTTTCTTTCCTCTGCCATCCCCAAAAGAAACCTTATACGTGTGTTCATCTGTGTGTGTGTGTGTGTATGCATGTGTGTATATGCACATATAGAGAGAGATATCTTTTTTTTTCCCCCAACTGCTTACAGTTATTTATTTCCCGATGGCCGGAATCAGAATCCTGACTTGACTGGCTTGTGTGAGCCCACACCTCAGGACCACATTAAAGTTACACAGGTGAGCAAAGTATTCTATCCCATCAAACTCACTTGCTTTCTTCCTAATTTCTAGCCTCCTTAGCTGTTTATACAATTCTGTCATACTTGGTATCCCCAAGAGTTGTTTTTAAGGCTGATGTGTTGTATTTTACAGGAGTTGCAGAAATCTTTGAATGGTAGGAATAGGCAGATGAGATTGCAAAGGCTAGGTAAAGCTTTATGCAGGGCTGACAGATTTTAAGACTTTTTTTTTTTTTTTTTAGAATGTTCTGCCAAATAGTCCTTCTTTTGTGCCATCCAGCATGTCTTGAGCCCTGCTTTACTAGGCTGTTCTTGGGACACCTCAATGAAAACCTGGGGTAACTTGAAGTCCACTTGTTTCAGAGCTTGACAGGTGTATCTAGTACATAAAATTGTAGCGAAATCTTTGCAGACTTCTGTTCTCCTTTGCACTGTGTTCTTGTGTTTGGAATTTATTTATTCCTGCAAATCTTGTTTTGGGTTTCTTGTAGCTGTGACTAATCATGCTTGTTATTTTACAGTATCAACC